CTCTAATTGCCTGGTTGACCCAGTCATTCTTTAGTAGGGTGTTCTTTAACCTCCATGCTTTTGGAGGTTTTCCAGACTTTTTCCTGTGGTTGATTTCAAGCTTCATAGCCCAGCGTCCTCCTAAGCCGCCATCTTCCTAATGACGAATCATCATATGTTTTTCATCTTACTGATACATTCTCTTTTTTGTTTTTCCTAAATATAATTTATTTTCACTTTAGCTAATGTACAGTGTATACAGTGTGCTCTTGGTTTCGGGAGTAGATTCCCTTGATCCATCGCTTACATACTGCACCCAGTGCTCATCCCAACAAGTGCCCTCCTCAGTGCCCATCACCCATTTTCCCCTAGCTCCCCTCTTCAACCCTTAGTTTGTTCTCTGTATTTAAGGGTCTTCTGTGGTTTGCTCCCTGTTTGAAACTATTTTTTTCCCCTTCCTTTCCCCCATGGTCTTCTGTTAAGTTTCTCAAGTTCCACATATGAGTGAAAACATATATGTCTTTCTCTGACTGACTTATTTCACTTAGCATAATACCCTCCAGTTCCATCCATGTTGTTGCAAATGGCAAGATTTCATTCTTTCTCATTGCTAAGTAGTATTTTCCCCCCCAGTTTCAAAGCATAGTTCTGAGCCTATAAAATTTGTAATTTCGTAAACATGTATTTATTTTAAGTAGTGCATATGATTTTTTAAAGGTCCTTATAAACTCCTAAAACTCATCTGATTTTGACTACAGATATTATAGAACAACCAGTACTGGTCCAAGGAAACAGTAACAGAAGATGTGTCAGCACCCTCAAACCTTGTGCTAAAGATGCATATATGCTTTTCCAGGTATTTCAATTGATAAAAAATAATTTTTATTACAGAATATAGTTTTGTGTAAATTTTTGATTTTTGCATTTTATGTTTGGTTTAATTTTTAAAGTGTCAATTTTTAAAAAGTGTCCCAATTTTGAAGTGTCAAAAGTAGTATTCCAAAAAACTTCTTTAATGTTAAAGACTATCCACAGTTAACTAACATGATAAAATGTAACATTTCACTTTAAGGAAATAGAATGAATTACACTATACTAGAAAATACCATATTATATTATACTAGAAAAATAACTAATAATAAAAAATAATTTTCAACTTAAAATTTAACTAATAAACCTTTGGCCTATTTAATATAATTTGATATACAAATACCTAATTTTTACATTATTTGTCGTGAATAAATCTTTTAAGTAAAATGAGATTTATCAGCACTGAAATTTTATTAATTATTTATTAAAGGATTATTATAAGTGTTTTTTCATTAAAAGACTATTAACCATTTATCTGTTTATATTATGTCTTGTCAAAAGTTACACGATTCTTTAAAAGTTTACTTATTTAATCAAGTATATAGTTTGTCAGAATTTGCATTACCAGTGTTTAGTTTCTGAGGAGTAAATATACCATATAAGAAGAGATAATTTTTTTACTTTTATGAATTCTGAACAGCACATTTCATTCTATCATGTAAATGTTTTATTTTTTATTTATTGTTTGAATTATTTTCCCAGGATCTTTGTCAGTTGGTTAATGCTGATGCCCCTTACTGGCTAGTAGGCATGACAGAAATGACTCGAACATTTGGCCTTGAATTACTTGAGTCAGTCCTGAATGATTTTCCACAGGTCTTTTTACAAGTAAGCCATTTGTAGTATCTTGCAACAAAATTAATCTATAATTTTTTCACAGATATTTTTCAGGAAAGTAACATGTATTCTTTCTCCCATGTTAAAGGACTGAAAGAATTATAGCTTTAGACTTTAGAACTGTGATAATTTAGTGTGTCTTACATTATTGTAGTGCCCTCGCATTTTGAAATTTTAACCTTAGAATCCCTAGAAACTATCTAGTGAGACATTTCTCAGTCTGTGAATCCACGAAGGAATGTAGTATGTGGGCTATTTTTTAAAATATGTGAAAACTGAAAAATTGTTACTGATCTTTACTTGTTTATATGTACCTATGTGCTTTTTGATAATTTATTTGGGAAAAAGTAGTAGTCAATGGCTGATAAGTTTAACTTGCAGTACAGAATATTTCAAAATAGAGAGTTATAGAGGAAAAAGTAAGAATCCAAACTTTTCATTTAACTTGCAAGAAGCTAAAGTCTAATATTGATTCAGTGATTTACATAGGATTCCTTAGTCATTAGCAAATCTTGAACTAAAATTTAGATCTTTTTACCACTAACCTAGTTCCTTTCCTTACCATACTGCCTTCCTAAGTGGCACTTCCAAAATGTGTGACCCAAGTGCTACAATAGTAGAAGATCCTTTAGCCCAGGATTTGGAACTGAAACTTATTATACAGATGATAATTTGGGGACATAGAGATCATGATGACTGTAGTGAGAATAATTTGAGTGGAGTTGGGGTGGTTCCTAGTGGTTATGAAGGAAGCCCAATTGTATTAAGTTGAGTAGTGAGTGGAAAAAGTGTGAATAGATAAAACTTTAAAGAGTTGTCTATAATATTTATCAATTAACCAGTATATAAATTTAGTTAGTGAAGTATGAAAATGTACTTTGGTATGCTTTTCATTTTGGCAGTCAAAGAAACTAATTATCCTTAGGACAGTAGAATTTCAAATCACTTAACTCTAAAGATCCCATTTTGGGGGACAAAGAATTAAAAAGTACATTAAAATGTGTATAAAAGTCTAGAAGAATATGCATTCAGAAGTTAGCAGTGATCAATAGCGTTTCTCCAGGAAGTTAATATTAGGCAAGGCTTTTATTTTTATCTTTTCACTTACCGGTATTTTTTCATTTTTTTTTTTCCTCTGATGAATCGGATTCTAATAAGGAGACATTTAAAAAATCTTAATTCTGAACAAATAAACTGCTCTGTACCTTATTTGTTCCCTTTTCTGTAAGATTAAAAGATTAGATTGGATGATTTCTATTATTGTGCCTTGTTCTCAGCCTCAGTGGTATTTGGATGAATAAAAAAAACAAAATAATGTATATTTGAGGTTAGGCATTAGTTGTGCACTGGACTTTATATTATCAGTAAAATTGGACTATTTTGGGCTAATATAGGCAGGAAATGAATAGGTTAAGGAAGGTTTTTTGCATGACATGATATGACTATAAGTAAATTTTAAGAATCCTTTGCAAGATTTCCCAGACTAAAATAATTGTGGGGGGTGTCTGGGTAGCTCAGTCAGAGGATCATGAGACTCTTGATCTTGGGGTCATTAGTTCAAGTTCTAGGCTGAGTGTAGAGATTACTTAAATAAATAAAACTTTAAGGAATAAAATAAAATAATTATGCTTGTTTGTCATTGCATTTTTAAAAATCAGCTTATTGTGTTCTGTTCAAGCAGTCTAAGAAGAACAAAATATTAAGTTAATTCTTAAATCTTCCATACATGAATGGAATTGTTATCTTGGCAAAATAAAATTAGTGAATTATATAACATATTTTGTTAAACTGGTGTTCTTTCAGCTGCCTATTTTAAATGCCTTAGCTATTTGTGTAATCTGTTTTTTTCTGTTCTTTATGTTTTTAATTGATAGAGTTCCAGCAAAATTAAAATTCCTAATAATAAACCACTTAATTCCAATTCGTTAGATTCCTTTTTAAATTAGATTCTTTTTAAACTTTGAAATAACGATGAACAGTTTGATCTTACACTCTCAAAGAGCAGCACTAATTTCATACTTGTGTGTCAACTAGAGTAATAAACTAAACATATAATAAAGCTAAATTATTCATACTGGTTATTAAGTTTTATTTGCTAGTACATATGTTTGAAAAGTAGTAAGTAAAAAGTAAAAATAATAAGTACCAATTAAGTTAATTTTTTTTTTTTTTTGTCTTTGCAAATAGCACCAAGAGTTTAGTTTCCTTCTCAAAGAAAGGGTATGTCCTCTTGTGATAAAACTCTTTTCTCCAAATATAAAGTTCAGACAAGGTTCCAGCTCTTCATCTTCTCCAGCACCAGTTGAAAAACCGTATTTTCCTATCTGCATGCGTTTGCTGAGAGTAGTATCTGTTCTGATTAAGCAATTTTACAGTCTTTTGGTAAGTGCTAATTTTCATCCATGTTTGTATGTGTAATTGCACGCAGTGCTCTTTTTAAATGATAATTTATTACAGTGCATTCAGCCTTTTCACTTCAGAATTTTTTAGGTATTGATAGGTATTCTCCTAGTTACTCTAATAAGGGTTTATGCTGTCCTTTCTTAAATCTTGCTTATTTTTAATGTATGTCAAGTAGAGTCATGGACTATTATCTGAAGGCAGCATAGAATTTGTGGCTGGGGAATTTAGCTTCTTAGCTAATTATCAATACCTCATTTGAAGGATAATTAAAATTATAGTATCTTCAATTAATGCTACTTGCATTTATACTATTTTATGTATCAACAGATTAAAGCAAAGAAGTTAAAAATTTGGTGAACTCTAGGATGAATAATCAACTATATTGGCTTCTAGTCCAGTATTATATTTATTTTGCATAAATTTATGAATTTGTGATATTCCTGATCACAATACATCAATGTATCAATATTTCTCAGAGAAAATGATGTATTATATTTCTTTTTAATTTTATATTAAGTCAAATCCAGCATTGTACTTTTTTTAAGCTTGTATACTTAATTTTAATTAACAGGAATAATTGGTTATTGATCATTGTGGAATAGTAAACTGTATAAAATTATAATACTTCTAATACTGTGAGCATTTGATGTACTAAATATTAGAGATAGCCAACAACTTCACAAACTAGTAGATAATAGTTTATACTAAATTCTGTGGAGAGCTTTTTAAAATAAAGGGCTTTTTTAAAAATTATTTAGGATAAACATGTTATACATTTTCTTTTCATATTCCAAATCCATTTATGCAAAGTGCATTCAGAAATAATCTTCATAAGCACTGTAGTTATAATTATTTCTGGCCACAAAAGGTATATGTATAATATACATTGATGTATTTAATGCATTGTATAGAGATAACTGTAGGAAATCAAATCACTTCAAAAGTGTTGCTATTTATTAGGGAAACTGTTAAGTTATCAGAGTTGGGTGCCAAAGGTTTAAGAGTCTTTTGGTACACCCATTATTATTGGCTTGGATTTTTTCTCTTCTACCCATGTTAATAACATATAATTGAACATTTAGGTATGTGAGTTTATGAACTTACTTTAGTTCATAGCTCCATCTTTCTCTGTAGGGTTTAATTTTTTAAAAATTACAGTCAGTGTTCCTCCCAACATGCATGGTATTTGATATAATTTCCAATAATTATTTTTAATTGAAAAAATAAGACTTTTTTGTCTAATTATATACAGTTGAAATGGAGGGAAATTCTGTGAATCTTTACATTGATTAACTTTTGGAGGTTTTGAAAGGTCTCCTGTCACTTGTTGAAAATAAATGAAAAGTTGCTTAATTTCTCCAAAGATGGAGAGCTTTTATCTGGCAGTTGTCATATTTTCTTAATTGTATTTATTTATAGTCCGTTTCAATCTACAAAGAAACTTTTTTATTGCGTGTTTTTTTATTTTGAGAGAGAGAGAAAACATGAGCGGGAGAGGGTCAGAGACAGAGGAAGAGAAAGAATTCCAAGCAGGCTCTGTGCTGTCAGCATAGAGCTTGACACATGGCTCAGTCTCATGAAATGAATTTCTCACGATTTCTCATGAAATCAAGACTTGGACACTTACCTGACTGAGCCACCCAGGCACCCTAGTCCACAAAGAAACTTAAAAAAAATTTTTTTTATTAACATTTATTCATTTTGAGAGACAGAACAGAGCCTGAGTGGGGGAGGGGCAGAGAGAGAAGGAGACACAGAATCTGAAGCAGGCTCCAGGCTCTGAGCTGTCAGCACAGAGCCTGACGTGGGGCTCAAACTCACTACAAGATCATGACCTGAGCCGAAGTTAGACACTCAACTGACTAAGCCACCCAGGAGTCCCTGCAAAGAAAGTTTTTAAAATTGTAAACCAGAGTGACACCAGCAAAATGTTGGAAGATGAGGGTTCAAGCCCTCTGTCCCTCAGAGAGACACCAACTTAACAGTACATAATTACCTCTGTGACAACTTTGGAAACCAGTTGAGAGGTTATAGCACCATAGGCAAATGGAAGGCCAAACAGTGAGGTTCATTACAGTGGGTAGGAAAGCTCATGGCCCTTAACTGCATACCTCACTCCACTCCTTACACATCTCAGCATGGTGTGATCAGGAGAAAACTGCCAACCTATGTCTTCTCCTTTAGATGGGCAAAAGATAAAATGCGCATCTAACATTCTGACTTTTTTGGGGTACTGTCCACCTAGTTTCTGTCTCACCTGATTCTTGGAACACTGACAGGCAGCACATTTGGGCCTGCTAGGCACCAAGGCAAACCTGTTGCTTGCCCAGAGAGGCGTAGTACTGCAGACATACACCAGGGGGAGCTTCTCAATAGAAACAAGTAAGTGTCGGGGCGCCTGGGTGGCGCAGTCGGTTAAGCGTCCGACTTAGCCAGGTCACGATCTCACGGTCCGTGAGTTCGAGCCCCGCGTCAGGCTCTAGGCTGATGGCTCAGAGCCTGGAGCCTGTTTCCAATTCTGTGTCTTCCTCTCTCTCTGCCCCTCCCCCGTTCATGCTCTGTCTCTCTCTGTCCCAAAAATAAATAAACGTTGAAAAAAAAAAATTAAAAAAAAAAAAAAAAAAGAAACAAGTAAGTGTCTTCTGCTGGGAAATTATACACACAAGCCCAGAGGAAACACATTGACAGAAGAGGTTTGAGAGGTTTCCAGGCTGATTGGTGAAGTTCTTTCCTTGTACAAAGCCAGTCCATAAAGACTAAAAGAGTTGACTTTTTCAACAACAACAACAACAAAATAAGGCATACAGAGAAACAGGGAAATATGGCTCGGTTAAAAGAACAAAATTAATCTCCAGATACTAACCATAAAGAAATGGAACTCACTATAACCATCGTAAAGATCTGAATGAGCTAAAAGAGAATACAGACAACTAAATGAAATCAAGAAAATGGTATATGAATAAAATGAGAATATCAATAAAGAGGTAGAAACTATAAAGGAGAACACAAAAATTCTAAAGAAGTATATGGTAATTCTGAATTGAAAAATTCATAGAAGGGGTCAACAGTAGACTAGATCAAGCAGAAGAAAGAATCCACAAACTTGAAGACAATTTATTGGCAATTACCAGGTCAGAGGAGCAAAAACATAAAAAGCAAGAAGAGCTTCTAGCAGACTTCTGGCATATCATACAGCAGACCAAGATATGCATGTCTAGGAAAAGCACACTGGGTTATGCTCCTACACTCACAACACCTTGGATATCAGATGTATGGATTTTTTCCCACATCAGCCAGTTCTCTGACAGCCAGATACTGTACGTTGAGTTCAACTCTGACACTAGACAGAGTTAGTACAGATCCTGTAGTTAAGGGCTCAGTTCCACAAGACTCCCCTGTTGCAGATGCCAGTTGCAAGTAGTACATTGCCTGGTTATCCACAGATTCTAAGTTGGCTGTAAATGGGAAGTTCCCACAACCTCCTCTTTGGGTTTGATCATTTGTCAAAGTGGTTCACAGAACCTAGGAAAACAGTTTACGTACTATTGCTTATTTATTACAAAGGATATTTTATTTTTTTCATTTTTTTTTTTCAACGTTTTTATTTATTTTTGGGACAGAGAGAGACAGAGCATGAACGGGGGAGGGGCAGAGAGAGAGGGAGACACAGAATCGGAAACAGGCTCCAGGCTCCGAGCCCTCAGCCCAGAGCCTGATGCGGGGCTCGAACTCACGGACCGCGAGATCGTGACATGGCTGAAGCCGGACGCTTAACCGACTGCGCCACCCAGGCGCCCCACAAAGGATATTTTAAAGGATAGCAATGAACAGATTCATGAAAAGAATAGGCACATGAAAAGATTCATAGGGTGAGGTCTGGAAAGGTCCCAAGAGCAGGAGCTTCTGTCCCCATGCAGTTGGGGAATGTCACCCTCTTGGCACATAGATGTATTCACCAACCTGGAAGCTTCCTAAACTCCATACTTTTAGGATTTTTCTGGAGGTTTCATCATGTCAGCATGATTGATTATTAACTCAATTTCTACCACTCTTCCCTCTCCAGAGTATGAGAGGTGAGGCTGAAAGTCTCAGGCTTCTAATTATGATTATTTTTTCTGGTATCCAGCCCCTATCCTGCAATCCATTGAGGGTTGCCTCATTTGAATGAAAGAATCACATGGGAAATTTCAGGAGACTTAAAACTCTGTGTCAGATGCTCCTATCACTCAGGAAATTATGAGAATTGTAGGAGCTCTGTGTCAGGAACCAGGAGCAGGGACCAATATATATATTTCTTATTAGTTCACAATACATTATTGGAGTCACAGATGAGGAAAGCAAGGGGCAGAGAGCCAGTTTGAAGAAGTAATGGCCCAAACCTTCCCAAATTTGAAGAAGGAAAGGGACATACAAATTCATGAAGCTCAGAGAATTACAACTAGGATTTATCTAAAGAGAACTATACCAAGACATGTTATAATTAAGCTGTTAAAAGTTTCAGAGAATCTTTAAAGTAGCAAAACAAAAGCAACTCATCATGTTCAAGGGAGTGCTCATAAGACTCAGTAGATTTCTCAGCAGAAATCTTGCAGGCCAGAAGGGAGTGGGATGATGTATTCAAAGTATTGAAAGAAAAAAAAACCTGCCAGCCACAAATACTATACCCAGCAAAACTTTCCTTTAATAATGAAAGAGAAATTAAGACTTTCTCAGGTAAACAAAAGCTGGTAGAGTTCACCTATGACAAGGCCAAATATCTATCACTCCCCTACTTATTTTCCTAAGTATTATCAGAGTTATCTTAGGAAGACTTCTCTAAAATGCTGGTTTAACTACATTAAATTAAGATAAAAGTATAGGAAGCAGAGATATTCTTCCTTTTCCTTTTCATATCCACTCATCAGTCATAGAACACCAAATCTTCTACTCTCATAATAATGCATAATGCTATAAAAAAACTTTTATATTCTTATAAAAAA